CAATTCCCGTCAAGTTTGATCGTCAAAGTCATTCTTGCGATTTTTGGCATGAAGTGACCAGGTGGATGGATGGATGGATGGATGGATGTCTGTATGTCTGTATGTCTGTATGTCTGTATGATTCTGTATGTCTGTATGTCTGTATGTATGTATGTATGTAGGTAGGTAGGTCTGGCATGTCTGTCTTTCCGAGTCGTCTTTCATCAGCCTGGTCCACTCCATGTCAAGTATTAGTAACGGCAAGAGGTGCAGTTTCAGCTGCTCCCGTCGCTTGTTGTTGGTTCGGGCTAGCGCACGGCAGGTGCTGGAACCCAGCGTTCCACTGCGAAAAATGCTTCGCCTGGATCTGAGCTGCATGCGCTTCAGCTTGGAACTGGGAGTGCAGCATTGAGCGGAACGGAACGCATGCTGTGGCACATCCAACACCTGCAAGGATAAGGTGGCAGATGAATGCTGAATGCAATGCATGGCATGGTCCGTAACAGCTGCAAGGAACTTCATCGCATGGCTCTCTGTACAGACCCTGAGCTTGTTGCCGACGCATGTGCAAGCGCACACAAACCGAACAAGGCATTCCCTTGTTCATGCATGATGTTCGCCTCACCTACATTCTGCTTGGGACTGTCTTGAGGTCGAAGCCGAAGGCCCAAGCAAAGACGCAGGCTTCATCAGCTTCAGCAACACCGGCAAAGATGGCAGGCAGACGGATGGATTTTGCGAACGAAAAGCCTTCTGGTCAATTCCAAAGCATTGCGCATGTAGGAAGTCGCTCAAATGCCTCCTGCTGACTCTTGCCAACTCCTAGCTGTAGCTGGGAGGCCAAACAAACTGTTGCCAACTTGAGTTTCCCAAGTGATTGGGCATCTTTGTCCTTTTCGTCGCACTTTTGGTGTTATTTTGGTGTGTCGTGTGTCTTTTACCGGCTTGTGGGCAGGCGCCACGGTGAGACGGACCGCACTCGGAGGTGGACTCGACGACTTGAGCAGGCGCGTGCTCTTGGGCTTCTGAGACAGAGCATTGGAGTTTAGGGCCCCTCCCAGTCTCGCATCACAGTCATGAGTACTGTCTTGTGGGTCAAGCTGGGCAGTAAGGGCAGCAGTCGAGTCCCTTGTGAAAAAGGGCCCTCGGTGAGGCTGACAAATACGGGTGAGTCGCAGCCCTCGGGGGTGGCTTTGTTACGGCTTGCGCGAGGTGCTTGCTCAAATACCGTGCTCGTACGCACATTGCGACGTGTGACACAACCCAATCGTGCTTCAAGTGCGGCATGCAGAGACTGAGGCTGGTGATAATGGTGATAGGATTGGGGATGTGACGGGCTGCGTTGGGTGTTTGAAGCATGCCAGCGGCTGCGCTGTCTTGACCCATGCCGAGCCAGCAAACCTGGAACCTTCATGACAAAATCGACGTGAAGTCCCCCTCAAGGTCGCATGCATTGCGTCTCACCGCTTCCTTGCTTCTCTGGGCAGGTTTGGAATCGGCTCGCGAGGAAGCCCTGGTCCACAGCCAAAGCCCACAAAGCGCGATGCCATGGACTTTCAAAAGTTTCTGGAGGCCTGCATCGGTGCGCTGCTTTTGCCAGTCGTGCCTTCAGCTTGCCACGCTATCAGGAAAGCGATAGTGATGAGGAATCGTCCAAGCCGGCAGCACCACAATACCGGGCTGCGCCCTCCCAAAACCAACAAGGAGATGCAGAATCGGACAGCCCCGTAAGCTCACCGGCTGCTAAGCCGGCAGTCCTTGCCAGGTCCCCTGCCAAAGTTGCACAACTGGCGAGCGAGGAACCCAAAGACACCGTGCCCCCAAGGCTCAACAACATTACCTACGACTCACCCTCACCCACAAGCCCGCGTAGCGGCAGTGGCAGCCGCAGCGGCAGCCCTGTGGCAGCACTGCCGCATTCCCCACGCTCTGTCTCACATTCGATTCAATCCTCTGAGCGTAACTCTGCATCCGCGAAGTCCCCAAAGCCACAGCCCCGTGCAAGATCGCAATCACGGTCCCGGTCGCAATCGCCCTCCAGTTCTCAGCCGCCTGCGCCGAGATCTCGCTCGCCCTCTCCGGCTCCCGTATCCACCGAGAGCGAGTCATCTGCGCCTGTAGAGCGTGGCAGTGTTTTCGGCAACATCCGACCCATGAGCGATTTGGTGGCCGCGACACCAGCGCCTTCTGCCAAGAACTCCGGAATGCTCGGCGCAGGACAGCTTGCTTTCGGGCTTTGCGAGGCTGGAGCATTTGGAGCACGGGTGCTTTTCAGGACAACGCACTGCAACGGCTGCCTTCAGCACACAGGCATCGTAGCAAAGAGCACAGACTCGTGAAGCTGCATCAGCTTTCATCATGCTGACGTTCTAGGCTTCCACGACATCCCAGCCAAAAAATGCAACGCAGAGTGCTGGAATTGCAGCCGATGCTTTCCTCAAATGTCCTCAGGTCTAACCACTCAGTGTTGTGGTTAGCCAGATGTTGAGATGGTTCCTCTGCTTCAGCGCACCGCGATGACAAACTAGCCAAGGAAGTCGCGTCCCCAGAGAGCACGGCCGCGAAGCGGCCCTCTATGCACTACGAGGAGGACTTCGAGGAGCTCGAACCTGTGGGGCCGCGATTTTTTGCTCAGGATGCAGGGATTTTCTGTAGCTCTTGCTCTCACCTGACCAGGCCTCCAGCACAGGCAGTGCTTTGGTCCAGACACCAAGAGCAGGGCCGGTGCCTGCAGCCGCGGCCATCGCGGCGGCACCTAGCACCGCTCCAACTGCTGCTCCTACAGAGAGAGCGTCTGTACCGGCAACGGTGCCGTCTGCAGCTGCGTCCGTGAGGACAGTCATGCACCAGCTTCAGTGTCCAACGCATTCAGTTATTGATCACAGGACGGAGCCAAAGTCGCAGACCTACCAGGCTTATGGTCTGGTGAGGGGCAGGGGGGGGGGGGCGCGTGGGACTTGTGACCATGTTCTTTCGGTGGGAGCACACACATGACACCTGCTGCCACAAGAGACTGTGCCTGCAGGAACCTTCCCGGGATCTGCAGGAAGATCGTGGGATGCCTCTGAGGCCCGGCGGTGAGGGCGTGCCGCAGCTTGCTACAGCTCTTTTAACAATTTGAGCAACAAAATCCAATGGATGCCAAGGCGATCCACACGAGACGTGCAGGTTCAGGTGCGGCATTGCCTTCGAAGTCATGAGAGTGTTACGAAACGGAGCTCGTGGCACAGCAGCGTGAAAGGCCAGCATACCTGTGGATGTTGGAGTTCAGTGCGACTTGCTCGTTGATGTTCCACGAGCCCCAGGCACCTGGCAGAGAGGTTTCAGGTGCTTGCAAATGGTCGTTGACAGTCGTACTGGTAGTAGCTGGATGAATCTTTGGTAGAGTTCTCAGTCCAAGGATTGTTCATGTCATTGTGTTTTCTCCAGGCTGGGCAACATCATCCTCAACAGCGCCTTGGGGTTTCTCACCTTGGGAGCAGGCAGGAGGAACGTCAAGATTTCCATTCAATGCTTTGCGGACATGACAGCGCTTTCATGCCAGGCTCTGTCGGCAGGATATCCTCATCCTGGTCCACCAGCCGGGTTTGGCCCGTACGGCATGATGCCGATGCCACCTCCGGGCTATTTTCCCTGGACACCACCGCCGCGGTCCCAGTGAGGAAAGTCTGCACAGAGTGCCTTGGATTTCGTTTGGTGCAGGCATGGCCCAGGCTTCCCCTTCGTCGCGCCCTGGGGCAAGGCGCGGGAACTGGAACGGCAGAGCTCGGGAGATTTTCGCAGATGTTCTAGGCGGGACCCACGGAAGCGGGGGCCCCGCCTCCGGAGCCTTCAGAGATTGCGCCCGGTGCACCTCCCGCTGCACCAGCAGCAGCTTTGTGCCGTGCCAAGAACTGCTTGTCCAAGTTTGTCGCTCACCGGTTCATGGGTGGATACTGCACATTTGCTCAGGTGGGCGATGCGGATGGTGGACGACTCCTTCAAGGACCAGATTGAGCTCCTGCGCCAGGTGCACAAAGACAGCACGGAAGGTTAAGCAAGCGCAGCGGAAGAATCCATAGAACTTTCCCGAAAACCGTCGGAACCGGAAACGGAAGAGACTGACTCTGCAAGGTGGCTGATACAGCACGGCTGCATGTACACTGTCATCATAAAGTTATAATAAGGAGGTCCCAAAGGCAAAGGTTCACACTGGTGCTTTCTCCATGTGTCGCAAAGTTAGATTGTAGGTTGTCAGTGCAACATGCGGGAGCTGCAGTTGGCTCAAATTGGATATGTCACCAGAATCTGCAGTTAGTTACAAGCAGGTTAAAGTCACGAAAACAGTGCTAACATAGAAGATTCCAGAAGCCATCCTCACAGGAACCTACCATTCGGGTTCGAGACACAACTTTTCCGTGGGGGATGAAGCACGAAAAACTGGACAGTTTTGCAATGTGCTTTATGTGCTGCGAGGCAGCTCAACGACATCGCAGCCTCTTGCAGAAGGGGCGGGGACCACTGGGAGAGGTTCTGGAGAGATCGGGAGAAGTAGGTGCCGCCTGACTTGGCTTCACACTGGGAATTGCAGCATGCGGGGATGTCAAAAGGCAGAGGGGGTTCGTCACAAGCAAGGATGGATGTCGGCATGTTTGTGGTGAGTCCACTTTGCATGCTCGTATATCGAGTAGGTGCCGAGGCTTCAAGCACATGACCGTCAGAAGGCAAACAAGGCTTAAGAAGAGCTTCCAGAAGAGCTTCGACATGAGCCTCGAGGGAAGGCCGGCCTTAGAAGGAAGCAAAGGAAGGCCAAAGTGCGTGGGTTTCCAGCCCACAGCCAGAACGGCACTGGTTCAGGAGAGTGATGAGTCATTCTTCTCCGAAACGTGCAAGGCGTCGCACATCGAATGGCAGAACCAGCCAGCAGACAGTATTCCAAACTGCATCTTGTGTTGAAAGCTGCACGTATGATGTGGTGGGCCCGTTGGTTATTTGGCTCAAGAACACGGGCAATGGTGGCAGCGGGCTCTCTGCGAAGCAGGCCCTTGCCTCGCCATGCTCAGGCCGCACGCAAGTCTGGTGTTGTGGGCATTTTGGGCATTTCCTGCAGCTCCGAACAGCAGTACAGCCACTGAACGAAAGTCATGGTGTGTGTGTGTGTGAAGTTCGGGACAAATCAATTTGCGTGACAGGCCTCCGGAGCTATGGTGCAACACGTCGTTGGCACAGTTTGGTTTGCTTTTCCTCTTGCTACCACCTGAAATCGAAAGTTCTTATGCAGACTTGGAAAAGCCTCGATGGCCCAGGAATAGCGTGAGCCGGCCGGAGGCCTAAAGGCCTGACATCCTGGCAGAGCGGCACATGACAAAATCACCTCCGTGTGCATCTGGCTACGGCTAGGATGTCCAGAACACTTTCCAAATCCTTGCCTCTATCGGGAGATGCTCGTCCGCACACCTCGTCTCATGTCTCGGAAATGTGAAAAGGCCCCTCTGGACTGCTGAACGCACGAAGGTCCTCGCTTCAGGCCCTCCGAGTCCTAAATCGCCAAGGTCCCCAAAGGCAGATGCTGGAACTGTCATACTTTGGGCAATGCTCAACCTGCTACAGAACTACCGCTGAACAGGACACCAAAGTTTCATGGCCACAGAGGAAGACCGTGCAGCGCTTGCAAGGCTGGGCGCCCTGTGTGCCTGCACAAGATCATGGCACGAAGTTGCTTGCAGGAAATGCGAGGGCGGTGGTTTGCGCAGGCAGACTACACAAGGCAACCAGATCGTACCCAGTCAGACCACTCTGTCTCGTCTGCCGCTTCGCTCCATGGCCTGCGATGAAGGCTTCTCCGGTAGTCGATCATGCAGAAATTCCCGATCGAGTGTTGGGATCTCTAAAGAACTTTGCTCCTTGTCGGCAGTAGTGATTCGGCCGGGACGACGATCGACGATGACCGTCCAAGCTGCAATCGGCCACTGCCTTCTGATTCTGATTATCTCGTGCTTCTATCGCTGTACACAAACTAACCTCTCGGCGCAACAACTGCCACCCCTTCAGGTTCCAGAAGACTTCCTGACGAGTTTCAAAGATTGGCGTCTTGCTGGCAAGCAGAAAGGGAAATGCTCCGACACGCTGCCGTTGTTCCCGCAAATGTCATGTCTTGGTACATGTGCCGACAAATTCCCAGTTCTTCGGCTGAAGACGACTTCTCTAGACCGTCAATCAGCTTGCTGGGTCGGGTGTGTCTAATCAAGACAAATGGTTAGGCGCCCTTCGGGAAGTTGTGAGGGGTAAAGATATGCCATTGCTCTCATGGCTGTTACGGGTTGTCGCACAATTCACCAAAAGTGCATCCTGTTTTCAGAACTACAGGCCATGCCCAGAAGGATTTCCGTGCATCGATGAGCAATTTGGAGCCTTGCAGATGTCGCAACGGCTTCTATCGCCGCAGCATCCGGGTCAATGGAGCACACCACCCAACTCGTCTGCCATGCGGCTGCAGGAAAGGTCTCAAAGAGCACAGCATCACTGCACATTTGTCCACAGCAGATGACATCTTGCAGCATGGGGCTGCCATTGCTGGCCCGAGAAAATCTAATATTCATCCTGGAGATTTTTTTTCCAGTTCTTTTCTCAGTTCCTCTCCATAGCCAGTTCGGCATGCAGATGAGAAGCCATCACAAAAGCAGAGGCTCCATGGTTTTTGGAGTGCAGCCAGTGGCGATGAGCCGGCGTAAATATCGGGGCTCGCTAGTCCACATGGCCAATGGCGATGGTGTATCTAAGCCTAAGCACCTGCCTTGTCGCAAAGAGCAGATCAACCCAAGGATCGAACTCCCAGACGGACATGACGACGAAGGTAGCATCCTCTCAAGGCCGTGGGAAGTTAGAGCTCCGTAGGATGTCTTGATCCGGACTGCTTTCGATGACCTGAAAGTGAATGCAGCTTGTCTGAAGTACTCCAGCAATCTGATCGGTGAATTCCCGCTTCACAACCTTTCTGAGCTCAATGTCATTGCGCGCACGCAGGGATGCATCCATACCAATGGAGGACGTCTTCAAGTGCCGGTTGGCACTGTTGCCGCCAGCTTCGCTTCTAAAATCTGAAATGTGCAGCTGAGTTGCTTGCCTAGTGGCTACTGCACGTGAGACCGAAAGTTTGAATGGTTTGAAGCGTGTCCTTCGCGAGGATTACATGTCGCAGCTGCATAAGCAGAGGCCACGTCCAGCACCATCTTCCCCAGACTCTGGATTACTTGAAACGACTTGATGCTGGCTATGTCGGATGTGCTTCCGCGGTTTCTGTTCACCACGGCATCACTTGTTTCGAAGGATTTTCTTCCGTGCATTCCTTTGGTTGTACGTCTGAGCCGTGTCAGGTGTGCGACTCCTTGCGCGACAGATGCGCCTAGAGTCCTTGCAGGAGAACGGCCTTCGATTTTCAGTCTCAATCACGGTGCCTAGCTACGTTCTTGGCCAGGCCAGCGACGGAAACATGATTGTCTCGGAAACAAGCTGACAAGGCGGCGGCAGGATTGTCCGCGGCACGACGCTTTGCCTGGTTTCGAAGAAGAACCCGTTACCGAACACGGAAGACAACGAGATTAGACGGAATCGTGTCGCTTGAGGAACAAATGAAGGAACTCCTGCCACATCTTCCACCGGAACCGCCAAGACTGAGCAGGCGGGCACGAGCACAGAGTCCGAGGGATGGGCGCCGCGAGTGCCCGTAAGGTCGGTGCGGAAAGCTCGGGCTGAGCTTGCAGCGCAGCACTCCGAGAGAGAGCGCCTCAAGGCCGGGACTACCACAGAGCCGGGACGTTATGTGAGCGTCTTTGTTTGGGACGTTGCCTCGAAGTTTGAGGTGGAAGAGCAGAGGGTCGAGGCCCGGCGACGGCTTTGCCTCTGTCGATTCCGAGCCATCGGCACCTTGGTAGCAAAACATAGCTGTCCTTTGCATGATGCCCATGGCACGACCAAGGCTTCGCCGTTCTTCGATGCTTGGCACAAATTGCCGCCGGCTACCATTGTTGATGCAGCCTCTGCTTTGTCTCAACTTGACTCGTGCCTGGGTGGGGTGGCGGCAGCTGTGCTGCTCCTCGGCAATGGAGTATGTATGCCTTTCGATGGCCACGGACTCTGTTGTTGTGCTTCTCCAGCCTTTGGCCTCAGTTTTATCAAGCAGCAACCACTTTCAAAAGGACTTCTCCCTTCATCCTGGGTCACCTGGCCTCTGTCGAGTCTTCAGCTCCATGCTTTCGTCTCCTTTAGCTATAAACTCTAGCTTCCCTTCGCGAGCGAAGCTTTTGCAACGGTCCAGGCTGATCAATTTCCAAGAGCGCCGCTGAGCTCCCAAAACCGATCCATAACTTGCGCCTGTGCCGCGAGGGGCACCCCAAAACACTGTGGCGGGAACACGAGTGGCACGCCGGCATGTCTGCGGGATCGTTGCCGGAACACGTTGTTGGAGGTGGAAATAAGGGTGGCGCGGTAGCACCATATGCAAAGCACCCAGCGTCTCTTTGTCGGGACAGAAGTGCACGGTGTGGTCCGGGTTTGGCAAAGTGGACAACTGGATCCCGCCACAGGGCTGTGTGTACGCTGATTGCTCTTTGCAAGGACGGCTTCGGGACGAGGACGAAGACTTCTTGGAGCCATGTGCTCGGGAGCGTCTTCTCCCAAGCATTCCATTACTCTTTTGCTTCAACCGAGGGCCGTCCGAACAAATCCGGTGATGCCCATGACTCCGTGCACGAGCGAAGAGGCATCCGGAGTCGGCCTGCGCCAGAACGCCGGAGTTGGCATTGCATGTTGCGTCGTCACGAGTTCCAGGGCTTGGAAGATGCAGCTGGTCCGGGACCGAAGCTCTTCGAACATCGACTGAAACAGGCCCGGCGGCGCTGCCCTCAAGGGATCTGTGTTGATGTGAGCAGTGTTGGCTTCGGATGTTTTGCGGATCCAAGAATCCAGCGGCTGAGAGTGGAGAGACATCGAGACTCTTGACACAAGAGAATCTCATGTGACTCATGTGCAGCGTTGGTTTGCAGACCTCTGCAGACTTAACACAGGGTTCTGGGCCTGGGCCAGCACACGCCACCAACATGTTGCTGATACTTTGAGCGCATGCAGCGAGTGCTGGTCTGACTTCAGCACGTCCGCAGATCTGCATGAGGATCTCGATGAAGCAGTGATAGAAACCATCTTGCATCGCTGGCGGCTAGCAGCTAAGAGTAGCGGCTTCGGTGACATCGAGACCAACCGCAGAGTAGAGGGGAGTCTGCCTGCTGATGCAAAGGAGTGCGCCAGTCTTGCAAACGTTCGGGTTCCGGGTGAAGACGGTGAAGACGATTGATAAACGCCAAGAGGATGAAACTTTTGGAAAGGGACGAAGCCAACAGCAAAGGAGTCTAGCACAGAAGCTCGTGGCAAGCTACATGAAGTTCTGTCCGTGGATGTGAAGTGGTGAGGGATTTGGGAGGCACGGGCCCGACGAAAGTAGCTGCGAGAGCTAGGTCAAAATCAGAGTAGTCTTATGTGGGCCCATGAGCACTGGAGCAATGCGATGAGTGAGGGCTCGGATGCGAATCGGCAAAAAAAAACTTTCGATCCAAGCCTGTAGCCAAGGCGAAAAGCTTCGACCCCCGGCCGGAGTGCTCAGCGCGAGGAGCTCGCAACTCGAGGTGGGCCCGCGTCGCAGACAGGGCAGGGGGATACGATGTCGCTGATCAAGCAATCCTTGCATGCCTCAGGCCTGGTACACATCTTCTCTGACCTAAATGGAGTTGCATTCTCCAATTCTGATTGGCTACTGCATATTCCTTTCATTCTAACATACCAAGCTTTGCTTGGACCTAGATGTACAAGATCGTTGTCAGACGAAAACTCACCCGCAGCGGCTTGAACGGAGGCAATTTTCGAGCAAAATTCATCGATGACTTGGTCACCTTGGAGCCCCGCATCGAAACGCAGCCGCTCCTGGCCTTCATGGATCAGGCAGAGTCTAGAGAGATGTCTCGCACAGGGCGTGTACTGATGTGCACTTTGAATTGCATTGCTTGCATCGTGCAGGGAGAAGCTGCTGCAATCGTGCAGAAAGGTCGCAAAGCCAGCAAATCCTCCAGGCGCAGCTCTGCAACTGCATGACTGCAATTTGTGATGTGGCCGTCGACCTGAGGCAGAAGGACAGCTCCCCCGCAGCTCGAGGTGCCGCTCCCGAAGAGGAGCACGGAACGAGCGAAGATGGGAAAACGTGCTTCTCTCTGCCTCTCTGCCTCTGCCAGCGCTGGCAGGAGCCCAAGGACGCCCAAAGTGATGCAAAGGCTTCCCCAGGCTCGCTGCTGTTGCTTTTGGAAAGCGTTCCCTGCTCTGACCCGAGCAAGGACCCACCGCGGCCGCGAAGATCGCAGCCAGACGGGTGAAGCTGCAGCGTATGCTTGACGTTCTGGATCCAGGCACTTGCAGAGCTGCGGATTTCTGTGGAAGCTTGGCGGCACGCGAACAAGTTTGACCCCCACTCGAGCATCAGCCCCGATTAGCTGGGCTCAAAGACTGAGTGCCTCCACGAGGGCGCCAGCTGGACCAGGCAGGGGAAGCCTGGTACTAAACCTCAGTCTAGTTAGTCGAGCCATGTCACCTTCTCCTGGGGCATTGCTTGTGAGCTTCTTTACAAAGGTGGATCGGTGGCCAGATTCTCTGCTGGCGATCGAAAGTGTCCTGTCAGACGCATGTGGGTTCAAGCAAAGTCTGGAAAGGACATTGGGTGCCCAGTTTGTTGCTGGGATGCAGGACAGCCCAAACGAACATGAATCCTGGCAGTGCATGGGTTGTACAAGGCCAGCGGCGCAAAGTGATCAGTGTTCCAGTAGATCACCTGTGCCACCCACCGAGAATCGTGTAGCCGGGGAGAAGCCTCCCATCCACTGTGAGGAAGCGTGCAGTGACCCCTCCAGGGCCGATGTGCTTTGGAAAGGTGCCTCGATTGATGAGCCAGTGACTGGTCCCTCAGTATCTCCCGTGATTGCAGGACCCAGTTGTAGTGACGTCAGTTCAGACATGCCTATCAGTACTGTCGGTGTTCAGAACGATAATCGCCGAGCTAGCGTCAGAAGGGCTGCCAAAGCCAAATGGATTGGTGGCCGACGAGCTTGGGCGTGCCGTTGTACAAGGTGGCGGCCCAAACGACGACGACGAGCGACAGCAAGTGTTCGACGCCGCGCCCGGCGAGCTCGCAGACAGGCTTTATGTCAGAGAGACAGGCAAGCCGTGGGCCAGTCATCCCCGGATGCATTCGAAAACCCAGCATGCTTGCAGCCGCCCGGCACTGCCCATGTAGGTAGATGTGCTCCCTTACGCGAATTCCCGCCACCTCCTTCGACTGGCATCACGGACCAAGAGGAGTTGAGAGTGCAACTCAAAGCTGTCTTCGAAGCCTCTCCGCAACGGGCTGTGTTGGCTACTGACGGCAGTTCCCGGGACGAGATTGGCGCTTTCTCCATCGTGTCCGAGTCTCCGCCATGGAGTTTTGTCGGAGCTGACGAAGGTGAGGACCAGACGCCCTTTCGCATGGAGCTTCTGGCACTGGTGGAGCTTCTCACAGCTGCTGCGACCCTTCCATGTCTCCCCGAGGCGATCATCATCTTGGTGGATTGTGAGGCGGCTTTGAAGGCTTTGGTCTCCCCTGGAGCTTGCTGTTTACGACTGTTGGCTTACGAAGCTTTCTTAGCTGTCAAACTGATCCGAATGCGTGCGACTCAGATCCATTTTATCTGGGTGCCCTCACACGGCAAGAAATCGCGATGGACACCGCCGCTCCATCTCGATGCGACCACCTGCCGGCGACTGAATGAACAGGCAGACCTAGCGGCCAGGAGGCACTGTGCTGACCGATGCACTGGTGCCGATCGGCAGCTTTGGCATGCTGAACACATCGCTGCTTCCACTCACGAGGTGACCTTAGTCAGTTTTTCCCTCCGGAGCAGGCACCTTGCTCGAGGATCACATGAAATGTACAGCACGGGCTGCTGCTGCAGCCGAGTGATCTCGAGGGCTTGGCTTCCGCCTCCCCTCCGAAGAAACGAATGAGACGGGACTTCCTGCTCAGATCGTTGCCACCAGAGAATCAAAAAACATCAGCCCCGATTCGAGCACATGCGATTCAGGCACTCGTGGTTTTTTCCACCTGCGTGCGGTTTGAGAATCACTAGAAAAACCCGATTCATTCACCAAGAAATGATTCAAACGCCAGCGAGTAGCGGTTGATAGCACTTTCATTCCTCAGAGCCTTCCCTGATCCCGGTTGATCACATTTCCGAGCTCTGCCCCCTTCAGTTGGCAATGTCGGTTGGTCGCACTTCTTACACCCACCCCTGCCTAAATCATGACGGTTGATCACATTGCTTGATCCGACCTTTCATTGGGCGACGACGCTTGATCACATGGGTGATCACATTTCTTAAGCTCGCCCCGTCATCATTCCCTTGTTGAACATATATGTATATGCACGTATACGGTACGTGCGTACGTACTTTGGTATGTATGTATGCCAGTATGTAAGCAGTTCGCGAAGAGTCTGCTGTAACTATGTCGTCGCTAGAAACCTCGCCTGACCTCGTCGAGCGCGAGTGCCAGAAAAGTATGTATGTAGGTATGTATGTACGGACGAATTTGTACATATATATACATATATATATACATATATATATACATATATATATACATATATATATATACATATATATATATATGGTCAGGCGTCTCGCGCT